CTTTATTAAATGTTGGCAGTCACTGGGAGGAGGCCATGATGCTGGACACACCTGTTGAGAAAAGAAAGGACACCGGGGTCAACCTGGGAACCAAGGGAGGCAAACTTCCAGCTACCACCCCGGCATCACTAATCCTTCAGGGGCAGATCACAGTCATCTTCTGGGTTTGGGGTTCCAGCTCAGAGGCAGAGCGCTCACCTAGCACGTGCGAGGCCCTGGGTTTGATGCTCAGCACCACAAAAAAATAAATTAAAATACTGTGTCCACCTACAACTAAAAAAATAAACCTTAAAAAAAAAAAAAAAAAAAGAAAGAAACAAAAGAAAACAAACCAGGACTGTGAAGCAGAGAGGCCTAGGTTAAAACCCCAGCTCAACTATTAACAGCTGGGTGACTTTGGGCAAGTTACATAACATCTCTGTGCAGCAGTTTCCCCATCTGTAAGAAGGGCCTATCCTTGGGCTAGAACTGTAGCTCATTGGCAGAGCGCTTGCCTAGCATGTGTGAGGCACTGGGTTCAAGTCTCAGCACCACATAAAATAAATAAAAGTATTGTGTCCATCTACAAAAAAAGAAGGGCCTATTCAACAGGACTATCACGTTAAAAGAAGTCCTTGTGGGCTGGATGCAGTGGTGCACGCCTCTTGAGGATCGTGAGTTCAAAACCAGCCTCAGCAAAGTGAAGTACTAAGCAACTCAGTGAGACCCTGTCTCTAATAAAATACAAAATAGGGCTGGGATGTGACTCAGTGGTCAAGTGCCCCTGAGTTCAATCCCGGTACCAAAAAAAAAAAAAAAAAGTGCTTGGAACCACGCCTGATATCATTGGGGTGTCGCTGTCGCGGTATTTACCGTGTGCTCTCCACACACTGCACAGCCTGTGGCTCCCCACCACACGAACTTCAGCCTGGATCTTCAGACTCCAACCCAGTGGTGCATCACCTTAAGAGGTGAGGGTCCCCGATCGCGGGCACAGAGAGGGCGGTCACTCAATCCCACTTCATTCAGTTCCAAATTAGCGGGTTGGTATGGAGAAGCCACACTGTACCAACTCCCATGGCTAAACCAACAGAAGCACATGTAGGAGCTGGGAGGAGACTCAGGCCCAAGAAAGCAGCCCCCGTGCTCTGCACAGATGAGGCTGTTCCTCGTGTGTGTGGTGTGTGTGTGTGTATTGGCAGTGACGAACTTAACACGCTCTGGACTGAATGCCTGGCTCTCTGCTACCTCGCCTCCTGTGCGTGGGGTGAGCAAGGTGAAAGTCACAATGTTGCTCAGCCAATTATAAGAGGGCTGATGTGAGGAGCAAATGGCTTAAGTGTAAAAAACGACAGTGTTTTTCCTAATTATTGTTGCTGTCACCTCCATTTAAAGAATTTTTTTTAGTTACAGATGGACACGATAGCTGTCTTTGTTTATGTGGTCTGAGGATGGAACCAGGGCCTTGCCTATGCTAGGCGAGCGCTCTACCACTGAGCCACAACCCAGCCCTGTCGTCCCATTTTTTACATAAGAAAATAGAGGCACAAGCGGTCAGGTCGCCCCAAGTTTGCTGTTCAGTAGAGACCCCAGATTTCCACTCAGCTCACCTGACTCAAGAGCCTGCCTGGGAGGCCCCCAGAACCCCAGAGACAAGGGAAAGCCAAAGGGACAGAGCCCCTGGGGCCAGCAGGTGTGGAGTCACCTGCATGCACCAAGGAAGGCCAGCTGGCATCATGTGGCCGCGCCTCGCTGGGTGGGCAGCCCCTGGACAGATCAAAGGAGCGTGGCAGACATGAGTTCTCCGGCCCTGGACAAGAACAGCTCTACCTGGGTTTCGGGGCCCCATTCCAGTGTCTGTCAAAGGATGCCCCCTGAGCCCCACAGCCGAGACCCTGGGCCACTACTCACTGTCAAAGTCAATCTTTTCCACAATGTTCTTGGGCTTAATGCTCTCCTCTTGGCTACAGATGAAGATCTGCCCCGACTCGTCGGCGCTCCAGCCGTACTTGCTCATCCACACCTTTAGCTGATTGTCTGCGAGGAGCACAAACGGTGTGAGCCAGCTGGACCCCACAGTAACATGGGGTGTGGGAGGCACGGGAATCAAGGCTACCAGGCCAGGGCTCCCTCCTTGCCTGGCCAGGCCTGCCATCTCTGGCCAGCAGAGAAGCCAGGTGGGTCTCCTTGCTGCCACCCTGCCCTTTTGTGGCGCATTCCCTACACAGCAGCCAGAGGGCGCCCTCAGCCCTGCCTCCTTCCCATTGGAGATTTCTGTCTTCACTTCTTTCCTGTCTGGCCCTTCTCTCCCAGGGCCAGTCCTGGTTCTTAATAAGAGCAGTATATTTACTTATCTGCTTTTTGCCACAGAATAGACAAAATGGTTGCAAAACTATATCATCATCACTAACAATAAGTCTTTTGGGCCCTAAGAAAATACACCAGTACGGTGAGGCATACTAGTCCCAGTGGCTGGGGAGGCTGAGGCAGGAAGATCACAAGTTTGGCAGCCAGCCTCGTTAACACAGCGAGTCCACCTCAAATTAAAATAAAGAAGGGTTGGTGAAGCTCAATGGAAAGGTTCTTCTGGTTTAAACCACCAGCACCATAAAAAGAAAATATGCTGGTACAGGTGCTGCTACAGTGGGGTTCAATTATGTTAAATGATTTCTGTGGAACTATTAGTGTTTTGATAGATTCACCTAATCCTCCTTATATTAAATCCCAAATTGTGTTTCATATTCTTTTTCTTGTGGGGCGGTGTGGGGGGGGTACCAGGGATTGAACTCAGGGGTGCTTAACCACTGAGCCACTTTTTTATGTGTGTGTGTAACAGGGTCTCACTAAGTTGCTTAGAGTCTCACTAAATTGCTGAGGCTGGCCTTGAACTTTCGATCCTACTGCCTCAGCCTCCCAAGTCACTGAGATTACAGGTGTGGGCCACTACTTCCAGCATTTTTTTTTTTTTTTTAAGAGACTGTGCCTTGCTATGTTGCCTGGACTGGCTTCAAAGGATGATACCCCAGCCTCTCAAGTAGCTGGGACTACAGGTGCCCACCACAACACCCAAATTTTAATTTTACTTTTAAATATGCAAAACACCTATCTGATGCATTTAGCATGTGCCAAACATAAAATGTCCAGCAAAATTAGCTCCCACTGGGAAAAAAAAAAAAGACACACACAACCTACATGTAAAGGCAAAAATTCCACAAGAAGATTCTCCCAAGACTCAACCCACCCTCACCTCTCTTCCCTGCCCCTGCCTCCTCTCCCAGATGTGATCACCCCCTTAGTTTCGTATCTTCCCTTCCTGCATTTTTGGGGGGATCTTTTAAAAACATCGATCTGATCACGGCTCCCTGCTCAGAGGTTCCTATCTATGGTTATTTCATTCAAGAACAAGGAGACACTCATCCTGAGACCCTGCACAGGCTGCAGATGCCCCTCTAACCACCTCTCTGCCCTCACGACCCCTCTGTACCCAGTCACTCTGCTTTGGCCCACAGTGCCCAGGCTGCCCTGTGAACGACAGGCAGGCTGCTGCTCCCGAGCCCCTTGTCCAGTCTGCTCTCAGCCGCCCTGTGAGCAGGCTGCTGTCCTCTGCAGCATGAATGGCCACCGGACACACACATGCTCCCTCCTTGAAAACAAACCTGAGCCCTTCTGTTTTGTTCATTGTCACGTGACCAGAATCTAAACAAAATCTGGCACAAAGTTGGCACTCGACCAGTGGATACAGAGGGACTGAGTGGCACAGGGTGTCCCCGAGGAAGGGAACCACCAACACCAGGCCCTGCGTCTTCCCTGGGCTGCATCTCCAGTAATGACCCAGAGAGGCTGGAGTTGGCGGAAGCCCACTGCCCCGACCACCCCCAACCCCCCAGATTGACACAAGGGACCCAGAGGTCTTACCTGTCAGATCCCCGAGCATCTCGGCCAGCAACCAGCGGTCAATGTGCTGGTATGTGATGCCCACGACGTGGCAGATAACTGTGGATGAGAGGGAATGATGGAGAGGGACCGTCGCCACTCCCCAGCCCTCACCGTACAGAGCCCAGGCTCAGAGAAGGACTTACACTTCCGGACAGAGTCTTCAAAGCCAGTTATACCTTCCAAGAGGTCCATGTTTTCATCCAGGGCTTGCTGCAGGGGAGGGACGGCAAGCACAGTGTCAGTGTCCCTAAGGATGGCAGCAGCCACCAACACGCGAGCACTGACCTACACACTGCCACCCCGCCACATGCAACATGTGTGATGTCACTGTTCTTAGGCCCATTCCAGACATGGAGACCAGGAGGACTCAGCCGAGAAATGATCCAGGCAGAAGCCAGACACAGGGTAGCTACCTATACTCCTTACCTGTCCTGGCCGTTGTCATAGGGAAAAAGCCAACCTTTCAACCAAGGCTCAGGAGGCCCACAGGGTGCTCGCTCACCCCACCCACCCCCCACTCACTCGCAGGCACCTCCTGGCTGCTCCCAACACCCCTCCCCGCCTCAGGCCTTTTGCATTGCTGTTTGTCTGGAACTTTCCTCCTCCACAGCTGGCCCTCCTGCCTCCTGCAGGCTTTTGCTCAAATGTCACTTCTTCATCGAGGGCTTCCTCCAACAGGAGTGGGAGAGAAGAGCCCCACAAACCCTGAGAAGGGAGGAGCAGCCATGAGGCAGGAGGCAAACCAGGAGGATGCTGTACTGGGAGCCAGATGACGAGGGTTCCAGGGAGGGGAGTGCGACCACCAGCGCCAGGGACAGCCGACAGGGCGGGTGACACAGGCCTGGCGCTGGCTTACCGGACCCAGTGACACGCAGCTTCAAGGGGCATGTGTGCACACTGGGGGTGGGCGTGAGGTGACAAAGGCCTGAGTGGGATGACTAGAGCGGGGCCGCGTGAACAGGGGTGAAGGAGGCCCGGAGCACAGGAGCCTCTCCCACAAGCAGGTGACCCCCGGGACTGACTCACTTATTTGAAATGAGTTTCCTGAGACAGGGTACTTTTCATTTTGTTTGTTTTTAGCAGAGGATTGTCTGAAACTTCCATGACCTTGCTCTGGACGAAGCAGGCCGAGGCCTTAAACCACCTCAGCACTGCTCTGGCCAGCGCTGCGGGAACGCACGGGGCCACGAAGACCCGGCACGCAGGAGGCTTGCTAGGGGTTTTTGGTTTTAAAACCAGGGAAGAGCTGGGTACAGTGGCACATGCCTCTAAGCCCAGCAACCCGGGAGTCTGGGCCAGGAGGGTTCCAAGCTCAAGGGCACCCTGCCAACTCAGTGAGACCCTGTCTCAAAATAAACAACCCAGGAAGGGCAGGTTCTTGTTTGAGGAGTCGGGAAGGGCTGGTGTGGCAAGGGGAAGGGGTCCCCATGCTTTAGAGGAGGGTCGCCTCAGCCACTTCACCTGCTGAAACGGCAGTTACGCACTAAGTCACTCTGGCGTCAGGGTCTGGGAAAACACATGAGCTCTGCTCCGCTCTATTTCTATTTCTCACAAGACAAGAAACCAGACCATGAGCTGAGGTGGGAAAGGGGTGAGAAGGGGACGTGTGAAGGGAGGTCCGCGAGCCCAGGAGAGGAACCGGGGCAGGAACAAGGTCACTCGGAAGGTCTGAGGACCCGTGCCTTCCCAGGAGTCACGCGCCCCTGGCGTTTCTCTCAGCCATTCATCATTTCAGATGCGGCTGCGCAGGGTAGGTGGCCATTTCAGAGAAGGGAGCAGAACCTGAGCAGCCCAAGCAGGCCCGGAGCCCTGGTCAGGCCCAGGTGTCGGTGGGAGAACTCACAGGGTGAGCTGGGGCTGGAGGAGGTGGCCGGGGGGTGGAGTGAATTCAGGAGCAATCGTTGGTCAGAACAAGTCAAAGGCAGCGGCTCCCAGGCTCTGCTCCATGTGGCACCTCCTGGGTAGCCCCTCAGAATCCTAAAGCCCGGGTCACACCCGCATTCCCACTTCAAACCTCCTCAGAGGCTCTGCATGCTGAGAAGAGCTGGCACAGCCATGACCACAGCTCCTCTCAGGCGGAAGATGAGCCAGGAGGACAAGAGGTCACGGAGGGCTGGGGCTCATGGCAGAGCATTGCCCAGCATGGAGGAGGCACTGGGTTGGATTCTCAGCACCACATATAAATAAATGAGTGAAATGAAGGTCCATCAACAACTAAATATATATATATATATATATAAAACCTAAAATAGATCATGGAACCTAGAGGCTGGTGTCAGTGGGTAGCCTGTGTGGGTTTTCAAACATTGCAGCATCAGGAGCAGTAGGAGGGGCAGTGAGAAGGACTCGATTCTCTAAGAAATGAGGCGCAGTCACCCAGAGGGCTGCTACCAACAAGGCAGGGAAGATGGGAGCCTCAGAACTTGGAGCAGCGATTTTGAGGAGCAGGGAACCGGCTCTGGGAGACGCAGTGAGGAGCAAGGAGGCGACCTAGCCTCCCACTTGGAGGCAGTTTGTGAGGGCTGAGCTCTGGATGCCACAGGAAAGAGGGGCGGGCACTGAGAGCAGGTGAGGAGCTGGAGGACTTCTGCTAACGACCGAGGGACTGTACTAGAAGGCCCAGTGGAAGGAGAAGGGGACAGGCTCAGGCCAAGCCTTGTGGGCACAGGGGCCATCTGAGACCTGGCTCCGTGAGGACAAGCGCTGAGGACAGGGCCCTTCGCCAAGCAACAAATGTGCACCACAGGGCCAGCCACCACCCTGCCCTGGGCCCCTCTTTACCCAGAAGGCCTGGAAATGGCAGGTCTCCAGCAGGTCCCCGAGGTACAAAATCTGCCTGATGGGCCGCTCTTCTTGCTAGCAGAAGGAAGCATTAAGGAAAAAGGTCCTGGAGCCTGCATGACTAAATCCTGGTCACCCTCTCCCCTCAGCCATCCCCTTCTACCAAAGACAGCTCAGAAACAGAACAGGGAATCGAGGCCATCTTATTTCTGCTGTGGATGTATGGAGAAGAAAGGGTGTTACGGAAGCACTGTTTCTTGTTTTCCTTTTTGGTACTGGGGATTAAACCAGGGGCACTGGCATCCCCAAGCCTTTTTAGTGAAGACAGAGGTTCACTAAGTTGCTCAGGGCTTAAGTTCCTGAGGCTGGTCTCAAACTTGTGATCCTCATGCCTCAGTCTCCCAAGATGCTGGGATTATAGGCACAAGCCACCCTGCCACTGTAGCCCTGTTTGTAAGATTCAAAGGTGAGAAACAACCCAAGGGTCCAACAGTGGGGACAACACAGTAAACTGTGGTCTGCCACATACTGGGATCGAGTCAAGGCTTATGGACACATCTTATGGACACTTTAGACTCAGCTACCAGAGTAAGTTCAATGAGTCATCTGCCATCTCTTGGCTCAACAACTGATGAGCAGGCGAGTACGAGGGCTGGGCCCACGGGTCCACCTGCCTCGCCAGGCAGGGGTTGGGGATTCTGCTGAGTTTGTCCAGTGATCAAATGTAAGCTGAAGCTCACCTGGCCAAGCCCCGGAGCAGACACCAACCAGTGCAAGGGTGTTATTTCCACTCGACATTCCTAAGGATACATGTACATTAAGTTCCTGCGCTCAGAGCTGACAATACAGTTCTTCGTGAGCCCGGCCAGGCCCTCCTGCCTCTCACCCAGTGTCCTCTATGCAGCTGGCATAAATCTGACCACAGCAACCTGCGGCTGTACAGCTCTTCACGTGCCCTGGACCCTGGCTGCATTCCACTGAAATCTGTGCTGTCCTAGGTCCCGCTGCTTCTTCTGTCTCTAAAGGACAGCAAGGAGCTCTTTCATTCCTTTAGGACTTTCCGGGATCGCCCTCACTGCCCATCCACCTAGCTTTCACGGGTTCCCTCCAGTCAGGGCCAGGTGCCTCTGCTGGCTTCACTCACCCTGCCCCTGACAGCTCCAGCCTGTCACTGATGGGGGACCTGCCTGTCACCTCACTGGACTATGAGAGCTTCACGAGGGCAGGGCCCGTCTCAGTCATGGCAATGTCCCAGCCCTGCCCAGCAGCTGAGTCTGAACTCACAGACCACTCTGCAGGCTCTGCCTCCCACCTCCATTCCCAACCAAAGGATACGTGTGCCTGGTCGATCATGCACTTGCACAGGGTGAAGTCCGTGTGGGGCAGGTTGGTGAGGGCCTTCAACAGGATCTGGGCAGTGACGGTGGTCTGAAAGAAGGCTGGGTTGAACTGGTACCTAAGAAGGGAATAAGATATACAACAGTGGTGACAACTCCAACCCCCCAAACTTCACCAAGTGCCAGGCAGGAGGCCACTGCTTTAGTCTGGAGCCTGGGGTCAAACCTGCCTGGGCTCCAACCCCAACCACATTTTCTGGCTAACCTCCCTGAGCAACTCTGCCTGCTCTGGAGATGGGGATAGTTGATCCTCACAACCACCCTGTGGGAGGCCAACCTTACCGGTGACTGAGTTACACTCCCCAGCTGGGTGCTGAGGCGCTCAGTCACAGAAATGGGTGTGTCTTGCTACAGCCCCATGGGTGAAGCTATGCTCACCTATTCCTTTGTAATATAACCCCTTGCCCTGTTTAGGATAGAATCTTCCATGGAAGTGCCTTGTGTGTGTCCCCTCCTCTTACTGTGCCCTTGGGTGTGGCCTACCCAGGTGTCAGTCAACCTGCTGACAGTGGACATCATGAAGATAGACTCAGCCCCCTGAAACCTGACCCCTTGCCTCATTTGAATAGCTTCTCCTCAATAAAAGGGATCAGCGCGTGCTCTCTCTCTCTCTTTTTCTGCGGACCCTTAAGGTCAGAGGAGCCGTCACAGCAACCCCAAAGAAAAAGGTATTTGTGTCTCTTGTGTGGTTATTTCGTGCAGCCCAGTTAGCCCAGTTTAACTAGAGTGACCCCTGAGCCTTTTAGTCACGAGAACAGAAACCCGGCACCACCCCACAGGGCAGACACAGCCACGAGCCTCACAAAGAAATGAGGCTAGAAGCAAGCTTGGCGCGGTGCTCATGCCTATGATCCCAGCAACTCTGGAGGCTAAGACAGGAGGACGACAAGTTCAAGTTCAGCCCCAGCAACTTAGTAAAATTCTAATGTCACAAAATAAAAAATAAAAAGGGCTAGTAGAAGAGCACCCCTGGTTTCAATTCTCAGTGGTCAAAAATAAATAAATAAATAAATAAAAGTAAATGAATCAAGGCTAGAAGGAACAATGTGGAGCAGTGGTTATGGCTCCGCCCCAGGCTCCCTCTCCCAGCTCCCACTGCCTGGCCTTGGACTGCCTATTTCAAATTCTCTGTGCTTCAGTTTTCTTTCAATAGAGGACAAAACTGAAGGTGTAGCTCATCGGTAGTGTGTGTGCTTAGCCTGTGAGCCCTGGGTTCAATTCCTGGTGTAAAAACAAACAAAAATAAGATGAACCCATATCAGCCTCCCAGGACGGCCCAGCAGTGGGCTCGTGCCTGCATCCGCAGCACAGCAGCCGACACGTGGCGAGCACTCATTCACAAGTGGCAATCACCAGTAACAACCTAAACCACCCACGAATATAAGTGGTCTCTCCATTTTATAGCCAGGAAAGCTAAAGTTATGTCATCTACAAAAATTACAAGCTGACAGTTGTCAAAAAAAAAAAAAAAAAAAAAAATCACCTGAGGGAGAAGAACCCAAGTATCCATCAACAAGGAACAGATCATTAGGCCATTAGGACAGTCACACAGTGGAACACTACACAACAATGACAATAAACTGCAACCACACACACACACACACAAATGGATGGGTGTCACAAACCCAACGCTTGGTGGAAGGTACTAGGTGCAAAAGGGGCCCTGCTGTATGATTATGGACCTGTCAAGGTCAAAGCAAGCAAAACTGAGCTAAGTGGATCCAGATGCAAGCATGTGTGGAAAACAACCATGCAAAGCCACACCATGAGACTATGACAATGGTTACCAAAGGTGGGGGTTTGGTTGGGACAGAGCATATGGACAAAGGGCCTATGGTGCTTCCAACAGTTACACAACACGAACAATGGAAACCTGGGTGTTCATTCACATCCGTTAAACTAAGTGTGTTTTATGTACTACCTTGTATGTGTTTTGCAACTAATTTTTTTTTAAACTTCCCTCACCCCAAATGTCTCATCTTCCTTGGCTTGCTAGTCTTGCACACCAAAGAGAAGCCACATCCTGCAGGCTATTCCA